CTCTCGGATCAGGATCCGGAATCCACACCCACGCTTTCTTCCAGTAGCCACCCCGCGTAGGCGGGTCCGCGACTGGAGGGCCCGACGATGGGGCTGATCCTGCTCCTTCCTCTAACTCCTCTGACTCTTCGTGCTCGGCCTCCTCACGCTCCTCAGCAACAACACGCCTTGGGAGACTTCTGTGAGACACAGTTTCTGTGACTCCAGGTGGTGGCCCGTGGGGCAATCTTGGAGGTCGTCTCGGGCTTGAAGAGGTCTCAACGGAAGGTGGATTCGCCGGCTCACGCGGTTGCCGACGATCTGGAGGTGGACCCGACGGTTCAACTGGCCTTGAACGAGCGTAGTACTTCGACTCTGGCGGTGGCGAAGAACCTCTGGTCCGATGCTCCACCTGCAGTCCAACACGCTCACGATACCTCTGAGAGGGGCGATAAGGGTCACCGCCCCTAGCCCTTCTCTCACGGGGTCGTGACCGATCAGCAACCGATCGCGAGCGGTCCATTCGCGCTAAGGCGCGAGCAAGGGAACAAGATACTAAAGTGTAGTTGTACTTGGTCCTGATCAATCAAACAACTATGTCCTTGGCCCTTGACTTACAAGACAATGAGTTGAACTCTCAGTGCACTCTCTGGTCTCTCTCTGTTCACACGATCCCGCAGCTCAGGGTGTCTCTGCTGCGGCTGATAACCAGTAGATTCTTAGATCTGTGTATATATGCTTCCAAATGTGAGCAATGTACAGCAAAAGTCACGATACGATGCAACGAGCAATCGAACCCAGGCTGCCGCACAAGTTTCCTCTCACACTTGAGCCAAACGAAGTTTGTGTTTGACTTCTGTCTCTGATGTCTATACAGCAGTGCTTTCACTCAAGGTTTCGTGTAACGGTATGGCATTGTTGCCACTGCTATTCCAGAATGCCATTGCAAACTGCAATGCAATGCTTACACACAGCATCAATTTCCAACGCTACCAAGCAAGGGGAAAAGCTGGTAGCCAATGCTATCTCTCACATGTTACAAACCATGGTTCTAACCGAGGGTGGTTTTCTACTGTAGGCTCATAAAGTTGGACTGTGCCTTCAGAACCCCGCAGAAGAAAGACAAGCGAAAGAATCCCGCGCAGTTGCAAAAACGTGACCAATGTGTCTGACCACAGCATTTTCAAAGCCACACAGCTTGCCTCAGCTTGACCAATGCAAGTTCAACGTAAGCTGGCTAAGCTGTGATGCATGGTGAGCAGTTGCAGCAATTTAGTTTACTTCTGGATGAGTGTCTGTGTCTGAGAGCAATGTCTCAGATACTATGATACTATGAAATTTGCACTGCTGCGCTTGGCGGACATGTTGAAAAGGCTGCCCGAAAGCTTGATAATCCAAGCGCATGAACGGCCCAATGTTTGCAAAGCGCTGTCCAACCCTCGAGTTTGCAAAGCGTGTAAACGTGTCTGGCGCATATGATCTCTTTCGTCCATAATCCCATGTGGGCCCTCAGAATCTACTTTGCCACGGGAGCCTTTGCTTGGCAGCAGCAAAAGCACTGCAATAACAATAAACTCAGCACAGACCACTACACACGAGTAGAAAAACAAGGGATGGACGTCGCAAAGGCGTCGCGCTAATTTGCATGGTTGGTTTGTGCAAAGTCTCATGAGGGTCATCGTTTTTGCGTTTTTCTCGTTTTCTAGCAAACTTTTTGTTTTTTTGGCCAAGTGTATTCAATTTGCAGGCGAAACAGCATTTTCGGAAAAAAATGATATTTAGGCGTTTGTGGCGCTGCCTTTTCCTGCTCACTTCGACCCACTTCTCATCGCTTTTGCGCTGGCAGGGAAGAGATCATTGCCTCTGTTGGGGTACGGAAACTGCCAACTCCGAACATAGTTCAAGAGTTCCGGATTGACAGCTTGATTCTTTGCAAAGGTTGTATTCACATGCTTGGGTATCCAAGCTTTCAAGCTCTTCCGTGAGCTGTCAGCCAGCTGTGTTCCACCTATCTTCAATGACGTGAGCGTAGGCTTCAAATTAGGTTTCTTCGTGAACTGTTGCTTCATATGTTTCACCTGCACTGTCTTTAGTTTATTGTGAGCTTCATTTGCAGCTGCAGGCCACGCAGGAGCACCGTCGCTGTAAAGCAAACGCAGTTACGAAATTATACACGGTATCTTAAAGTAAACAAAGTACGAAGTTATCTTCAAGTGATCGAACGAAAGAACATCGACGTCATTGCCCCCCCCCACCCCCCCACCCCCGCCATGCGCCCCGTGTTTTCACGAAGCGCGACCAAAAAATAGCACACCTCTCACGACGCCCTCATGGGACCCATACCAAAAACAAGCAACGTGTGACACCTTGACCGAGTTCATCACAAGACAAGACCAACGTACAATCATACGAGGAACCTCAATAAATGTGTTGTTCAGAGAGTGCTGTATCGAAGGTGTTCAGTCTGTCAGTTGGATCCTGTAACTACTTCCTTGTGTGAAGAGAGTTGGAGCAGTTTGAGAGAGAGAGAGAGAGAGAGAAGCGGAGAGAGCGCCGAGCGTGTTGTTACGCTGCCAGGCGTTGGATGATGCGAGAGAACGAGCGGGTGGCGCGGAAGTACAAGCAGCAAGAACGAGATCGGATTGCCAAGCTGCTGAGTTTGGCCGAGTCTTTGGACCCTCGAGTTCAAGCGGAGAAGGAGGCGCATAGCACGGTGCCATGACAGCGTGTAGAGTGGAGTGACAGTGCAATGCTCGTGCTGCTACTGTAGTGCCTGCCACGCGACAACAAATGTCCAATGATGCCGTGTAGTGTTTGCACAAGGAAAACGCAGCACCGACAATGTGACGCACTTCCGTGCAATGACAATGCAGATGGCCAGAACCACTTGTGTCACAATACTATTCAATACACCTCCTAATGGCGATGGCCTCCAACCTACTAGTGGTGATCTTGACCATGTCTCAAGTTTGCGTGCTGCTGTGCCAGCGCAGGCAAAGAAGCAAGCAAGGGAAGCCGAAGCTGCCCGCAAAGAGGAGGAGTGCGTGCGCTGGGTTTTTGGACACATGCTTCACAGAACAATGAAGATAGAGAAGAATATGGTGGATCAGTGACCGAGACTTGGATCATCGACCAGCATGGATAAGCGACCATGGATCCGTGACCAAAAGTAACGGATCAGCGACCCAACAGGGGCTCGATTGGCAACTGCATGCCCGTGGGGGCAGACTCTGTGGTGGCAAAGCAGCCAGAATCCGATTTGTTCTCCTCAGAATCCGATCCTATGACTCTGATTCGATCTCCGATTCGATCCACACCCTACTTCTTCATCGTCATTGTTGCTGTGGTAGTTGTCGTCGTGGTGGTTGTAGTTGCTGCATTCTTCTCTCCACATTGGTTTCGAAGTGTTCATTCTCCTCCCTCACGCGTATCGCTGGCCATGTGTTGTTGTTCTTTTCCTGCTTTGGTTTGGCCAGACATTCATCACCACCTCAAGCTGACCAGAACAGTGCGTGTTGCCACAAACTTCTTCGACACTGTTCGCCAGCCCGTATATACTGAATCAGCGTCTGTTTGTATGGAGGCCATCGCTTTTAGGTTGGAGGCCATCAGTCGGAATGGTCGGGGGGCACGCCGTTGATGAGATCTCGCCTGATGTGTGATGCCCGGAGGTCAGGATGATCGGTACAACCATAGCGGTCGTTTGTAATAGCCGTTTGGTTTGTCTCGCGGTTTGACCTTCCGTAGGCTTTCTTTTGGCTTGGCCTATGGCGTCACTTCTTTAAGAATTCCATGGCGCTTGGCTTAGGGCTTCATTTCTTTGAGGTTATTTTGATTTGGCTTAGGGTTTCGGGCTTCTTCTTTTGAGTGTCTTTGGGTTCATCCGGCTTGCGGCTTCGATTCAACGAGATGGGCTTGCAAGATGCGAGACATAGGATGCGCACCGGTTCAGTGCAGTCCAGGCATTCGGAAGGACCATCGAGGTGGCAATCACCAAGGAAACGACCAAGCTTGTTGGAGCTGGCGTGCCAAGATGGCGGGAATCCCCTTGTAGGGGCGGGCTTCAATGATGAAATGGTTTCTGTATGTTCACACTTGGAAGGAAGCCATTCCGGCTGCTTTGCCCCGTTTTCTTGTGAATCACACATCGAGCTGGAAGAACTAGGCTTGGGGGGTCTTAGGTCATCAATGACTAACACATTAGCCGTTGAAGAGGCGTTTTCAATCTAAGCGGTTGAAAGATTGATTTGCCAAACAAATCTTGAAGAGGTGAGGAGCCGCAACGGCGAAAGCCTGTAGATACGGGGCGCTCATTGCCACATGTGTGAAGAGAAGCGTCTGCGAAGACAAGCGCCCATTGGCCCATTGGCCTGTAATCTCTGAACAGTGTGCTGAGGAGAGTGTATTTGAAAGGGGTAGGGGTTGGTACCGGCAAGCATGTTGAGCATGTTGACGATGTTTCTGGCTCGGGCATAAGGCCGGATTGCATACAACAATGCGCAATAGTGACTAGAATCGCAGAAGGCCAACAGCTTTCCAATGCCCTTTCAATTCGCGTGATCGTTCTTTTTGATCTGCATAGTTGTGCGGTGGTCGTGGTATTCTGTTCCTGCTGGTGGCAAGTTCGTTCTCGCAGCATAGACACCTTGCGCAAGGAACGGGCTGCAGCAAAGCGGGCCAAAGAGGAGGCGCTTGCTTTCATTAGGTGGTAAAACACAAAATGGCAATGGCCTCCAACCTACTAGCGATGGCCTCCAACTTAATAGAAAAGACAAGGAATAACAGCACCTAGTTTTTGTGCCGCTGCCAGGTCCACTTTGTGTTTTGTCAGTGTTTGCACAGCACGTTCCCATGACAAATTTCAATTATGTTGTCACTTCAGCATGTCGGATCAGACGTCACACATGTAGCAGCGTAGCATTTGACATTGAGACTAATGGGCTTTAGCCGTGCAATCACCAAACAACGTGTTGACGTAAATTCCGCAGCTACCATGCAAACATGAACACTGCATGCGTGTGTTCACAAAACTTTATGTGTTTCCGTTTTGGGAGACTGTGACGCCTGATGCAGTGTGCTTCTTCGCCATCAAGGGATGAACGCATTTCAAAGAAACTCATTGCCATTGAGCAGCGGGTCGAGGCAAGGCAATTTGTTCTGTGTATTTTGTTCGCTTGTAGGGCCTTGTAGGGTGGAGGCCTGCCCCATTGTGAAGCAGTGGGAAGGCATTTATCCTTGCATGCTGCTCGAATCCCAATGAAGCGTTATCATGAATTGTTGCATGGGGGTGCACAGGGTCCAACGATGATGCATTTTCATGACGTTGAGCTTCCTGATTTGGGGTGCTCCGAGACACGCTCGCACAGCACCGCACGCAGGACGTGCTGGCAAGGCTTTCCCAGGAAGCTGGCCGGACTGAGGCCGCATTGTTGCAGATCAATGCAGCCGTGACGAACTTGGCTTCGATGCTGCCAAATTGTTCGAACGGCAAGGAGTCCAGAGGCCAAGCTGACTGCCTTTGTGTGGGCGCCGAGGCCGGCCGTTCCTCATCGCAAGCTCTGAGTTTCGGCACCGACCGCCTCCGGTCAGAGAGGAACTTGTCCAAGTCCTTCCAGTCAGCTTCAAAGGAGATCTCAGTGATCATGCGGAGTGACCGATCGGAGGCCCAGGCGATGGAGAGTCAGCCTTTACTGAAAGGCAAGGATGCAAGGAAAAAGTTCAACTCACTGAACATGGAATCCATCGGGATCCCATTCCAGGAACGACTTGCCCGAGCTCAAATCGCATTGGAACTTGATTCGCAGTCGGCGACCTCTAAGCGCATCACGGAATTCTTGGAAGATCCGGATTCCAGTCGTTTGGCCGGGTATTACAGTTATGGAATTACCATCTTCACAAGTTTAGGCCTGCTATTTTCATTTTTGCCGGCGGTGAGCATCAGTGTGGACAACAGAGATTATGTCGACTTTTTTATTGATTTGGTCCTCTTTGCGGAGACGGCAGTGCGCTTCTTTTTCTATCCAAATTATTGGGCCATCATTACTGGCGAGCAGCGCTTTGAAAATATGATTGACTGCTGCAGTGCAGTGCCGCTGATTCTCATTGATACTTGGCAATGTGCTCACAGCACAGATGGTGCTTAAATTATTCACCAGTTTGTCCTATATCAGTTCCTTCCGTGGTTTGATGCCAAAGCTGAGGCGCTTAAGGACAACTTTGGGGACCTTGGTTCTTTGGGTGATGCGGCTCTCCTGGCAGCAATGCCGATGAGTCTTGCAGTGCAGTTCAAGCACTTTAGTATCCACGTTTTGGATATTCCTGACCTCCAGATACATGTTTCCATTTTCTTTTGTTGTGTGGCGATTGCACCAAGCAGTATATCTACCCCGGGGCAACTTGCAAATACTTGTAGCCCCTGAGAGCAGGGAACCAAGGCTTTGGGTCGAGGTTTGCATTTGATTCGACTGTCGCGGGCTGAGGATTCGACTTCTACGACTGGTACGTCGTTTCACCTATATGCAGCTTTTGAAGGCAGTGCCAGTGGCAGCAAATGATTTTGGAGAGCTTTGTAGCACCGACTCCAACAGCTTTTCTTGCTACGGTAGCTAGTGCTTGGCTGCTAAGTTCGCTAGCTACACAGTACTCCTACCCTCTCCCATCCGGGCTGCGACGGGGTCTGTGCTGAGGCTTTTCGAGAAGCCTTGGAGGCGCTGCCAGTATTGTTGTTTTGTTTGGCCGTGATGGCTTATGGCTTTGCGGCTTTGCTGTATTTGGTAGAGCCGCGGGAGAACATGCCCACCATTGCGCATGCTGCGTGGCTGGTGATCTCTACAATCACAACTGTGGGATTTGGAGATGTGGTACCTTCGACCGAGAGTGGGTTGTTTCTCACTTCCATTTTAATGGTGGTGAGTTCGCTCTACATGGCCATGCCGCTGGCCGTGATTGGCCACTCCTTCAACACGATATGGGCGCATCGTAAACGAATCTTGCTCCTCAACAAGACACGCTCTCGGCTTCACAAGTGGGGCTTCGGAGCCTATGAGATGCCAAGGCTCTTTGGACTGTTTGACCTGGACCAGTCTGCAGAAGTTGACTTGCCCGAGTTCCAAATCCTGCGGCCATTCTGTATTTGAAACACATTTTAATCATTTGTTTCTTAATTTATTCTTACTTCCTCTTTAGATTTGCCACTTTTTCGTTGCAACTCTTGCTCAAGCAAGGTTGAGAGAGATGGACATGGGTTTTAAAGAGAAAGAGATCACCGAGTTGTTCAAACTCATTGACAAGGAGCTTCTCGTTTCGATTTCTATCTTCAGAGGTTACTCAGTGTCAAGTTGACTTGCAGATTCAAACACGAGGATTCCGGTGGCACAATTGACGAGAAAGAGTTTGTGAAGACACTTTATCCAGATGAGTATCGCCTGCTGCACCTCGGAAGTGAGCAGATAGCCCCAGTTGACAAATTTCCTTCAGAATTGTGCTTCCTTGTTGACAAAGCTAGAAGCTTCACCTGTGAGGTATCCAAAGCGACGCGTCTCCAGGTTGACTTCATCCTTGGAACACTAGTAGTTCTGAGCGCTGTTCCGCGCAGCTTGTGGTCAACATCGAGTCGTCATCATTGCTTTCGTTTTTCTTTGTGCCCCGTGGGCAGCGCGGTGCACGTCACAGGAAAAAAGGACAGAGGGAGCATTCCACTTCTCTGGAATGAAGACAGGTTGAAAGGAAAGAATGTATATGTTAAAGAATCTCTCTTAAGTTTCCCTAAAAATCTGGGAGCCAAATGAATCGTGAGCTATCCTGCATCCTAGCTAGGAGCGAAATTCTCCTAGTAGCTTACCTCCTTACTTAAGCAGACGCCTACTTATATAAAGAACTAAGGGTTGGCTAAAGATGCATCGACACATCAAAGCACATTGCAATTAGACTGGTGTCTATGCTGCGAGAGGCTGACAAGCGGCAGCGAGAGGCTGAAGAAGCTGCTCGAATCGTCCGGATGCCCAGAGAGCTGCTAAGCCGCTAAGCCGCACCCAGCCACTCAGAGTCTGAGACAAAGTGACCTTTTCTCTCCAGGCAGAGGACCTGCAGCGCAAAGCAGACAAAGCAGCCAAGGACACAGGTTTAGTCTTTGCCACGTGTGCTAAGACCTTATCATCCTTGCGTCCGCATGATTAGTTCTTTTGTGTGTTCATTGCACATGGTGGAGGACGCTGTGAAAGTCCGACCCTGAGTGGCCCCCAATTGCACTTGCCGTCAAGTAGGGTTGAGAACTCAAGTTGTTAAGATTGCAAGGAGCGGGTGAAGAAGTGCCGTCAGCGCTTGCGAGGGTTTTACCAGGCACTGAGAATGACAAGCGTTCTGATGCCTTTAAGTTGCTGTGGTTCATGTGGTTTCGTTTGTGGAGCAGTCCACAGACAGGCACGTTTGCGCGTGGTGGAGACTGGGTGCCGGTGCCGGGTGCCGGGTGCTGGGTGCCGTGCAAACCGCCGCGTGTAGCAGTGAAGGGCGACCAACCGCCGCTTCTGACAATGAAGTGCCAGTTCAATTCTTTTTTTTTTTTTGGGGGGGGTACCGAGTGAAAACGACAATTTTCAACAGTTCCATTTTTGGATATAACATGATCTAGCGTGACCTAGCTACGTTTGCTACTTCCAGTCCAGCAGGAAAGCTAGCAATGCCTTTGCCTTGCTCACAGCGCCCGAAAAGATTGCTTTCTGTTCTGCTCCTGAAGGACATCGCTATTAGGTTGGAGGCCATCGCTAGTAGGTTCGTCTCTACGGTTCATCCTGGGATAACTTCCCGTAGTTGGGGCCTTCCCCAACCAGTTTGGACTACCGACGAACGCCGATCATCATTGCCTTCCATTCGATCTTGCTCACGGACGACCACTTGACTCTCCAACTATGGCCCCGCTATCTACACCAGCACGAAAGCACCTTATCATTGACTCTCAATACTTTCCAGCCATCTCAGCAGGATCTACTTGTTGGGTTGGCACTTATGCCTGCTGCGTTTATTCGCATGCCGTACTACAGCCCTGGCCAGGCTGTGAAGGAACATGTGGTCCTGGATCAAATCAATGAAGTCTGCCTCCAGTTCAAGGTGCGCGACGGACCCACTTGTTGAGTTGCTTGTTAGCCTATTTACTGTGCCGACCATGCGGAAGAAGAATCTCAGAGATTTTGCTTCCTTGCACATGTCGTAAAGTCTCTGAGCTGAAACCCTGTGCCTTTTTATACTATAAACTAGCTTCTTCCCTGTGGCTAAAAACTGCAGAGACCGTACAACGGATGTGCTTGTACAGTGCGGACGGCTTGCGCAGCATTGATTTCCTCAGGAGGAGGACCTGAGGGACTTGGGCGATCGGATTGAAGCAGTAAAAGGAGACAGTCTTGCCGCTGCGGATCTTTTCCACGAGGCTCGACTCACGACATGGCGCAAAGAGACTTTGGACAGACTGTACTAGCAAATTAGCTACTAATGGCGATGCCCTTGTTACTAGTAGCTTCTTGTTAGTAGTAGTCAGGTGCCTTGTTACTAGTAGCTTTGATGCCAGGAGCTACTAGTAGCTTCTAGCTACTAGTAGTGATGGCAGATTGGTGCAAACTGATGCTTATTTAATTCCTGATCCGCGAGGCTATCAGATCACTCGGGCTGGTGCCCATGAAGGCTGAGCTGACCGAGCTGTTGTATGAATACTGTCTATACATACATGTATGTATATACCTATACACATTATATACATCTAGCGTAATGCAATATAATCGTGTGCCACCAACTTCGACTATGTAGCCCTTTCGAAATCAGGCTCACATGGGTATGAACCCAAGGCTTTAGGAAGTCCCTTTTAAAGGGTATATTATTGTGTTGTTGTTTCCCAGGATGGAGCCCATGTTCCATTTTAAGTAACTCCACCTTCAGAGCATGAGGAGGAGAAAGCTTTGTTTGCTTTAGCGCTTCTTGCACGTCACTGTGCAAGTTGTGCAGGCCAGTGAAGACGCCATTAGCACCACTAGCGGCCCAGCAGATTCGCAGGAGGCAAGGATGCGTGCAAACCTACCTTTGTGTATCTGTTCTTGCTTGCGTCCTCAGTTCTTTGTCTGACATATACGTGGAAGGACATTCAGGCTGCAGAGGAGCAAGAACGAAGGCGACGATTCGTGATGTGGCAGCACTTTTGAGTTCTGATTTGTGTTGTTTGGTTTCTTTTTCTCTCCACAGTTTTGACATTGTCTTTGTCATCTGCTTTTTGTACTGTTTTCTTTGTGGTCCATTGCTGAGAAAGTGTGAAGCAACTCCGCCCAAACAGTTGGGTCAAAGGGGTCCGTGAGCACCATGGTTCCATGGTTTCCATATTCTGAGTGGAAGATTCTGGTGACAGATCTGGATGGTTGTACGGTGTGCCGTGCCAATGGGGAGATAGTTGAAGATATGAGTGGACACATGTGGACACACTGAAACTTTCAGGACTGAACGGCAGGTTTGCACCATCACAAACAAGGCCACGACATCTTCACCCTTCCACAAACTCTGCACATGGCGTACTAGCCCACCTGCACCACGTGGTGTCGGAGAGCCAACTAGTGGGATTTGACCCACCAATTCACGAAAGGTAGCTTGAGTTACTTGAGTTCTCCCTGCTTTAGCAGAGATGGGAATTTGCTCGCTCGTTGTGAATCACAGGCTCATTAGGAGTCATTAAGGAGGGGCCCCGGATCAAGTTTTCTGCACCTTCTGTATCTCAGCTGGCACGGAAGTATGCACACCCCCGCTGCTTACCTATAAGCTTTCTTGCTCCCAGTAGCGATGCCCTTTGCTCCTAGTAGCTTCTTGTTGCCAGTAGTAAGGCCAGGAGCCCCTAGTAGCGTCCTTGTTCCTAGTAGCGATGCCAGGAGCTCCTAGTAGCGTCCTTGTTCCTAATAGCTACCTTTCGTTCTTCCATTCGCTGTCAGTGGCTGAGGCTGCAGAGAAAGAGGCCTGTGCCCAACCTCAGCGGCGCACGAGGGACGTGTTTCCTCGTCGAGATGTGATTTTTCAGGCCAAAAGAAAAAAGGACCTCGAAGGGCAAGCTGAAGAGAGGGCCAAGCTAGCAGCCGAAAAGGCAGAAGAAAAGAAGAAGAAGGAGGAACAGCTAAATTAAGAAAAAGGTGTCTAAATTAAAATATATTCAATGTCCAGATAGTGCCCAAGAGGCAAACAATAGCAAGAGTCTCTGCCGGTGAGCATCAGTCCTCCATTTCTTGCATTCTCGGATAAAAGGAGCTGCGGAAAAAGGAGCAAGCAGCTCTGGAAGCGGCCAAGAAACAGCAAGAGAGGAAGGAAGAACAGTGACCCGAATGAACACAGCATGACTGATGACCAGGCATGACTTGGCTTCGTGAGACCAATCATGTGTGCCAAGGAAGGCTCGCAAAGCCGAAGAGAAGCAGAAAAAACAGGTGCCATGAGCAGTGCTACCATCAAGTTCAATACGAAGAGTTGCCATACGACTAGTGCAAGAAAAGACGACAATGCTATGCAGAAAAAAGGGAGCAACATGGATATAAAGTGTCATTGGTTGCTTTGAAACACAGCACGTCCAGCGGTAGGAGGAGCAAGAGAAGTTGCGGCGAGAGCAGCAGAGGGAAGAAGCTAGACTCAAGTCTTTGGAGCAGTCTGAGAAGGACAAGCAGCTCGCCCAGCTGAAAAGAGAGGACACACAATGAGAGAGCGTGCTCCAGTGACATGACAGCCATGCTGGTCATGATGGTTGAAGCCTTTTCTGGTTGGAGGCCATCGCTACTACTGTAGGTTGGATGCCATTCCTATTAGGTTGGATGGGTTGGAGGCCATCGCTATTCGGTTGGAGGCAATCGCTACTAGGGTAAAAGTCTTTTCTGCTTCTTGTGTGGCAGGAAATGCAATTGGAGCGTCTCGTCCAAGTGTTCTCACAAGACCGTGTCAGCAGGCTGATATGCCCGTGCTGGCTTTCTGCTCTACACAAAGTCGAGCTATGCAAGTATACTGAAGTGCGCAACATAGGGAATATAACAAGAGAAGGGCAATTGAAGGTAACTTGCTTTTGCGTGGCATGTGGGCTTGGGAGGGCATGACACCGTGCAAGGCTTGCCAAGTTGGACACTTTGTCAGATGAGCAGCTGTGCAGTTCCTTGCAAGAAGCTGCGGATGCAGACCCCGCTTTGGCTTCTGCGTCGGCGCCTCAAAGTGCGGAAACTAGTAACAAGGACGCTAGTAGTAACAAGTGCCACGCTACTAGTAACAGGTGCATCGCTAGTAGTAACAAGTGCCTTACTAGTAGTAACAAGAACCTATTAGAAACAAGTGCCGCGCTAGTAGTAACAGGTGCCTTACTTGTAGTACCCTCAGCGGTCCGTGCCAGCAGAGAGCAGCCTGCTCGTGTGTCCCGTCACGGCAAAACAAAGCCAACTCAGGATGCTAGTAGTTACAATGTTAATTAAATTCTTTTTGTTACTAGTAGCGATGCACTTGTTTCTACTAGCTTCTTGTTACTACTAGCGAGGCCCTTGTTACTAATAGCGAGGCACTTGTTACTAGTAGCTGCTAAAATCAGGAACCAATGTCCCTCTAACCCGCTCCAATGTAGTCAACCACCCATGCTTGAGCTCAAACGCATACGTTCGCGTTTCCTGTGAGCCACCTATTGAGTACAGGACCTAGAAAATGTAATAACAACGAAGCTACTAGGGTCTCCTGGCCTCACTGCTAGGAGCAAGAAGCCACCAGGGGCTCCTGGCCTTACTGCTGGGAGCAAGAAG